GACCTGGTCGATGACGTGGCCATCTCCCGCTTCGTTGTCATGTTTCTTCAACACAACTTTGCGCACGTGAGCAAAGTACTCGGCGGCCTCGACGCTCGACGACAGTGTAGTTGGACTAAAAGCTGAACAAAGTGGAAGGGTATACACATTAATATTGCTCAAGTGTCCAAGAACATGACGTTGGTGCTACGCCACGGGGGAGATGGTCCACACTTGCGTTGGCAAGTTGTTGCACGGCTGGGCCAGGACCGAGTCACCGACGGCTGCATCGGGTGCCGGTATGCACCCTGGGCAGCGCGTCAAGCACAAATTGTCTTCGTCGATTAGCGTGATGTGCGAAGCGTCAACGGTCGTGTACGTCCACACCGAGCTACCGGTTGTGTGCAATTGGATCGCTTTGCCGTTTGGCAGTGGGTCGCACGCTTTGCACATTTGCAGTTGAAGTTTGAAGTCCGGGACGTCGATTGCAATGCCCCCCGGCACGTTATTGATACTGTAGACCAATGTAGTGCCGGCGGTCGGAATCGCCCAGGCCGTATAGAGCGCACTCGGTAAAACGCCGGACCACCCGCTCAACCCGGCGCCATTGTCCGCAAAGATGTTGACTCGGACGCCATTCACAAAAGATATCGGCGCTGGTGTCGGCGCTGGTGTCGGCGCTGGTGTCGGCGCTGGTGTCGGCGCTGGGGTCGGCGCTGGTGTCAAGGTTGGCGTCGAGGTTGGCGAAGTATCACAAAGGTTACGGCCGCAGACTGCGAGAGCGGTAGCGAGGAGCAAGAATGCAGTTCGCATTGCAATCGGTGGTCCGATGAAAAACCCGAAATGAGGCAAAGCTCGTGCAAATGGTGAGAACCTGGCGCAGAGAGCCTGCGCGAAAGAGGCGCAAACGTACAGTTACCAGGTGTATAATATACGGCTGAGCATCCCCTGGAGCATCCCACTCAGGCGCGTTAGAGGGTCGTGTTGCGAGTAACGTTGCACACGTAAAACTCCCCCCTCGCTGCCGTGTTTGCGTTGCCCCGACGGCTCCACAATTATGAGCTCTAACTGAGCTTACCATATATTAGCTGAGCTTATTGGTAGTGAGTCCGGCCATATTGCAGTGTCCACACGTATGATGCCTAGCGCCCAAGGTTGCCCCGTCATGGTGCTCCCGACCACCTTTTGCTCCGCTGCGAATTTATTATGCCCTCTGGAGCTGGACCTCCGTTTGCGCTCTTGTTGTCGTCACCGTCCCCGCCCCGTAGCGCATGGTGCTCCTGCAACCCCGTGCGAGGAATCAATTCTCAGAGCGTCGTTTTTGATGGGTTGCAAAAGTGCAGCGTCGTCTGGCACTATCTACCAATCCCAATCCCGACAATACGAACTGCGACCCCTTAAACCATCGCAGAATAGGAGCGCAAGGCGTATGGTACAGTGTCTCTGGTGTCTGTTGCCGCCATGGAGCACGTTCGATCTTCGATCATCTGCACTGGCCTAGTCTTTATATGAGGTCAGTCAAAACAAAAGGAACCGGATCGCCTTTTGAGACAGTTTTGGAGTACGGGCAGCATGCACAACAGAATTTTAAGGGGAATCGAATGGTGTAGTTCTTATGGACAGAAACGTCGTGCTTCCTGTGCAAATGTGTTGTCAAAGATTTGTGGGGTTAGGGATATCCCTGGATCAATGACCAATCAGGTTGCTTGTGATTGCTACGTCATCTTCACAGTAAGAACTTATATTTCATTCGTTGTCACGATGTATGTATTGTTGAGGTCCTAAGAAACGTGCAGAAGGCAAGTTTGCACAGCTTGCCAATGAAAGGAAGGCGATACTGCTGCCGTTGCTCCTTGGGCTTTTCGACCTCCCATGAGTTAGACACACTGAACGCGATGAACGCGTTTCGTCTTTGGGAGACTAGTTCTCTCGCAGCTCTCCCAACAGCACAACTAGTATTAAGCTGTCCAAGCAATGCGATGGATGCTTCCCTCTTGCTCTCGTCGCTCATATGCTGCAGGCACTGTTTACCACAACACGACATATTTGCAAGTTCCGTGAGTACATCGCTAGGTGCACAAGCCTCCTCACTACTTGCGCTGTCCTCCTCTGTGTCGCTGTCGTAGTCGTAGTCCAAATCCCATCCACCGTGGTCGGTGGTGGGACTCGCCTGCTCTGCTGCGGGAGGATGGGCACAATCAAGAGAGGAGGCCGCCATGGAGGCAGCAGTAGCCATACGTGTTGTAGCTACCGCCGCCTCGGCAGCACCGGGGGGGGAGACAAGCCATGGTCGTTGGTCGTTCGAGGGACGAGGAGACGACGTACGGCCAAGGTCGCGCTGGTTGCAGAGCCCGATGGCCACGGCCGAAGCCGCTGAGAGGGAGTTCCCGACAGTTTCAGCCGAAGCCGCCAAAGAGGAACTCCCGACCACCGCGGCGACATTCTCGGGAAGCGAGCGACAAGACGGCGACAGAACGAGGGGAGGAAGCGCGGGACGCGAGCGGCCAAAAGGAGGCAGCGCGAGAGGACGAAGCGCGGAGCGCGCGTGGGCGAGGGGAGGAAGCATGGGCAGCCGAGGCGAGGTTGGGCGCGAGATGCGGCGGTTGGCGATGATCGACGCATCGAGTTGCGCGCCCATGATGGCAAATTGGATTGTGAGACCATGATGCAGTCAGTTCCCTCGCATTGTTTCCGAGAGGTTTGTCTGCTGCGTTCGAAAGCTCTGCCATTGGCTTTCGCTGTCTATCACCTTCACCGTTTGCCCAATGAGATCGCTAGGAAGCGACCAATCAAAAGCGCTGAAAACTTTGGGCCCTGTTTTCTCAAAACGTTAGAAGGCCGCTAACGGCTCCTTTTGTTTTGACTGACCTCATATATGAACGTGTTTCGCGTTATCTTCATAGTTACACAAAGACTTCGCATACGTAGAGACTAGCAATCTCCTTCTTCATTCGCTC